ATACCTCCTGGTCTTCTGGTACGTGATGAACGAAGGCACAGTGGGTACCTATTTCATCGCCTCCATCTTTATGACTGTATTCAGTAACTGAGTGTGATTATTAAATTTGAGCTTCCTCCTGCATCCGTCTACTCAGGGGCTATGTTCCACGGCCAAGTCATCTGGGCAGGCCATGAACCAGATGCGAGCCTTAGGATTTTCAGAACTCCATTTTGCCACTTGGGTAGGATCACAGGAGCAATTTCAGCCCCTAGTCTTTGATGCCGGCTGTTTGGTTTCATAAAAATTATATAGAAAGTTATAAAAGAGTGATAAGACCCTCCAGTTTTACCACCAAATGGAAAAGTTGTCCACACAAAGACTTTATAACCATCTTGTAGCAATTTGGAGACTCTGTCATCATCTTAGCTGATTATGTATTAAAGGAGTCTTTGAATGAAGCCCTAACCTTTGGTTTCATATGGACAAGACAACTGAGCTTCTTGGCTTCAAAGTTTGGGCTTGGAGACTGGGTGTTCTCAGAAGGGGTGGATGTTTCCATTGGTTACCTAGACCAGCTTCCTCTGAATCAGATATATTACATCTTAGAAATAAAGCTATTTACAACCCCTGTAAAAGTCACAGCTGGTGGGAAGCTGCTTCTGAAACAAGGACATAGTTTGTGAAAGCAGAAAGCCCGGGATTCTTTCGCAAATTTGCTGCTCCTTTAGCTGGGAGGTTCTGGAAGCATCAGTTTTCTGAGCTTTGGTTTCCCCATATGAAAACTGGATGGTGATGCCTTCACCATGTTGTTCTAAGCAGGGGTCAAGTGTGCAAGGCGTAGCTTTGTCATCTGCATGGGACAACTCAGACTTTAGTTAATATTAGCTTCAGTTAACGTGGTTTAATAAAACTCTTTTTTTTTGTTTGTTTGTTTTTTGAGATGGAATCTTGCTCTGTCGCCCAGGCTGGAGTGCAGTGGCTGGATCTCAGCTCACTGCAAGCTGCACCTCACGGGTTTTATGCCATTCTCCTGCCTCAGCCTCCCAAGTAGCTGGGACTACAGGTGCCCGCCACCATGCCCGGCTAGTTTTTTGTATTTTTTTTAGTAGAGACTGGGTTTCACTGGGTTAGCCAGGATGGTCTCGATCTCTTGATCTCGTGATCTGCCCGTCTCGGCCTCCCAAAGTGCTGGGGTTTAATAGAACTCTTAAATGTGTATGTAATTCCTAAACCTTTCTCCTAGGAATGGGTATGTGTAGGTTAGGATTTGTTTTATTTAAAAGCTTCACTTTTGCTTTCTGATCTAAAATTGTGCATTCACACAGGGTAGGTGGATTTGTTCCTGGGGCTACTGTAACATGTAGCACAAGTGGGGTGGGGACTTCAAACAACAGAAATTTATTCTCCCGTGGTTCTGGAGGCCAGAGTCCAAGGTCAAGGTGCAGGACTGTGCTCACTCCAAAGGCTCTGGAGGAGAATCCTTCCCTGCCTCTTCTGTCTTCTGGTGGTTCCTGGTGTTCCCTGGCTTGTGGCAGCATCACACCAATCTCTGCCTCAGTCTCCACATGTATCTCAAAGCTCCCTCTACCGTTCCCTTGTAGGACAGTTGTCGTTGGATTAGGGTCCATCCAGATAATCCAGGATGATCTCATCTCAAGATCCTTAATTTAATTTCACCTGCAAAAGCCCTTTCTCCAAATAAGGTCCTATTCACAGATTCTGGGTGGAGCTATTTTCTCGGTGGGAGGAGAGGCCCCATTTGACCCATGATCCTCCGTATTTGTGAAGAATTCTTAAGACCCCACTTTGACAAGTACCAAAGGTACCTTACCTCTGAAGGACACATTTTCTGGTAACCATGCTATATTATTTTAAGGGAATGCAAGCTGGTTTTATTATTTTAAGGGGATGCAAGCTGGCATGAGACACACATCTTCCTTCTTTATTATGCCTCACTACAGAGATTTCTGTTAGGCAATAAGCTCACCACAGTGGGAATTTAACAAAAACAGTATCACATCACAGACCAAAATGCCTCCTTTTCCTGAATCTGAAATAATAGTGGTGATTCATAACCAGGGGGCAGGTCATTTCTTTACAGCCATCAACTCGGCATAGGAGCATGTGGCTCCTGGCACTCTCTTCACCCAAGAACAGCCACGTGGAGGCAGGAACACAGTGATTCAACAACACAGAAATCAAGCCATGCCTCTGTCTTTGAGCCATTTGTGTCTCTGCTGGCGTCTCTCAAAGAAGCTGAGTGGCTGAAGACTGTGGCTGGCAAGTGTCATGGGATTTGGGGACTTCACTTCTTTGACGAATGTCTGGGTTGCGGGATAGGAGGTGGGACAGAAACTGGGAAAAACCTTGAGACTTTGTCACTCCCCACGTTCTAGGAAGTGTCCTGCATGTGAGGCAGTCCTGATGTCAGGCCCTAGGATGCTCCAAACGTATTAGTGAAATGAAATTGGATGGCTGTTTTTCTGAGACTCAAACACACATTTCCATGGCTGTTTCTCCTGCCCAGATGCCTGGGGTACCACCACCCCATGGAGGTAAAGGAGGAGCAAACTGTCATGAGATGGGGCAGTGGTACTTCCACTCCCTAGCCCAAGCACCCACAGCCCCGGCCCTCCTGCATTTTACGCTGTGACCACCATCCCCCAAGCCTGGCCCCGGCTGCCCCTCAGTCAGCCTCTCATGGGTTTCTGCTTCACTGTGTGTCCAGTCCTTGGCTTGGGTCTTTCCTGAATCCCATCAGCCCCCAGCCTCTGTCTTCTCTTCTCTAATCTTCCATGAATCCCATGCAGAGTCATCCTTCTGGAAGGCTCCTACGAGGGCATGTCCTCTCCACTTCCCATCCCTGGCTGGTTCCCTCCCTCTGCAGGTCTGGGCTGTGTACCCTCCACCCCCATCCCTAACCCAGTTGGGAGCTATCTCTTGGACCACAGTGTTCTCCAAGTTCCTGCCTGCACTTTCTGTTCCCTAGGTATTCACCTGACAAGCTCCCTCCCAGGCAGCATCAGCCCCTCAATCACAGTGCCCTTTCCTGCCCTCTCCCCTTCCACTGAGCTGTGAGCCTGCCCTGCATCTTGAGGGCCAGCAGTTGCTCATCCCTGAGTCTCCAGCATGTAGCTGGGGCTTGGCGCAGAGTAGGGGCTCAGTGTTTGCTCTGTGGATGGAAGCCGCCTCCTTCCTGGCCTCCAGCCTCCCAGAGCTTGGGGCTGGAGCCTGAACTCAGCTGCTCATTCCTTCCTAATTCTCTTTTAATGCTCTGTCCCCAGGTGTGGCCAAGTGACCCCCTCTGTCTAATCCACAGCACAGCTGAGGGCAGGCTGCTTGGTTTCCAGTGAGCCGGGAAGAGTGAACAGAAATACAGGGTCTCAGAGACCCCAGCAGCCTGAGTCACCAGGGTCTATACATTTCTGGCTCCCTGTCTATTCCCACCAGTAGATAGTGCTCCCAGGTGACACCACTGGTGGCCTGTCCCCCTGGGTCTGGACTGAGGAGAGGGCTAGAGCTGGGGGGGTGTCTTGGAGTTCACCTCCCAGGCTGTTCCTCTGGGCCCGGGCCCTCCTCAGTCCCTGCCTTGCAGGTAGCCAGAGTTCACTCACCCGCTTCCCCATCAGCATCCTCTTCCTTGCCCCAGAAGGCAACAGAACTTCCCATGGCGCCATTTGTGACCAGGTTACGATTCTTTCCTTACCATTGGGAGTCATATTCCAATCACCCATTCCAAGGGCAGAAAGATGAAAACACATCCCACACCCGTGGGAGGCTCAGCCGGTGAGCTCAAGCACATACGGGTCATTTCTTCCTCTGCGGAAGGGGAGGTTAAAAATCCTCCTGCGCCTGGCCTGGCAGGACAGAGCAAGTAACTGCAACATGGATTCTGGGGCTCCACGGATGGCGTGGCATCGACTCAGTGAGAGGCTGGCCGACTTCTACCATACAAGGCCCTGGCGAGGACAGGGGGCAGCTTGGCATGCAAAATGAGCCAGGCATCAGAGGCCTGGGGATGCTGGGAGGTCCTGGGGCAAGGGGAGGGTGGCCAGGCATGGCCACAAAGCCCGGCAGCCTCTGCTTTTGCCCCCCTGCTCAGAGTCTCCCCTGCTGCATGACCCAGGAGAGAGTGATCCCCCAGCCCCAGAATCTCACCCTGACATCTGCCCAGGTCTAGACTGACGTCATCCCTTCCCCGGGCACCTGCCACGGCTTGTTCATGAGCCGCGTCCACACCTGCCACCTGTTCCTGTCTGTGCCAATCCTTTCTCCACACTGCACGGGGCAAGCTTTAAGAAAGCCCAAGCTTCAGGGTCCCTCTGCTTCCCGTGGCTCACAGGGTCAAGCCATGACTCTAACATGCCCACTGACCAGGTGCCCTGGGGACCTGGTCTCCACCCACCTCTCCCTTCCACTCCCTGACAGTGGCCTTCTTTCTGTACCCTAGAGCCCTCTGCCAGCATGTCCACCCCAGGGCCTTTGCTTGTGCCATGCTCTGCCTGGAGTGCTCTTCTCTCCTTCTTCCCATGGCTAATCCCTGCCACCCTCTGGATTCCCACCGACTTTGTGGGCCAAGTCCCCTCCATTGTCAGCTCTTGGAACACGCTGTGCTTTTCCTTCATAGATTCTCATTCTATAGTTGTTTATTTCACTTGTAATTGCTTATGTAATTATTTGGCTCATGCTAAGTCCCTCCCAGCTCAATGGACTAATTAACTCAGCCGTATTCATTGAGTGCCTAGTACGTGTTGGCTGCTGATGCTGCACTGGTGCCACCCAAACACTATGCACGGGGTACTCTGTCTGCCCTGCTCACCATAGCAGGGTACACAGGCACATCCAAGGAGCTGGAGAAATATTTGCTAAAATGAATCAATGAGCGACTGAGAACATCGACTGTCTCAGCACCCTGGGGAGCCCGCATCAGAGAACCAGCGACAAAGACACAGAACTTGAGTCTCCAGTTGTGGAACAGACACTGAGGGTCCCACTGCCTGCTCTGTCCACCCAGGGGAATGCACATCAAGAACCCAGACCCAGGCCTGGCACGGTGGCTCACGCCTGTAATCCCAGCACTTTGGGAGGCTGAGGCTGGCAGATCACTTGAGGTCAGGAGTCTCGAGACCAGCCTGGCCAACATGGTGAAACCCCATCTCTACTAAAATACAAAAATTAGCTGGGTGTGGTGGTGGGGCCTATAATCCCAGCTATTCGGAGGCTGAGGCAGGAGAATCACTTGAACCCAGGAGGCAGAGGTTGCAGTGACGGAGATTGGGCCACTGCACTCCTGGGTCACAGAGTGAGACTCCATCACAAATTAAAAAAAAAAGAAGAAGAAGAGAAAAAAAAGAACTTAGACCCAGGCTTCCCACTGCAAGCCAAGCGACTTTCCCCCAAATTCCCTCCTGAGGTTTTGATTCTCCCTCAGCTTTAGCTCCCAGGTAGATTAACAAGGAGGAGGGAATTCATGTCTTAGAGACAATTACAGGTCACGCTTTGCCACTTTTACACAAGTGATGGAATTTGACATCTTTCACAATGCTGCACATCAGGTGAGCCTCCCTAATTTTGCACACAAGGAGCTGGAGGTCAGTCCGTCAATAGAGGGAGACATGGTGAAGGCAAGCACTTGAACTTGAGCTTTTAAAGTACACACTCTCTCCACCAGGCATTATTGATCACCCGGCACACACTCGCTAATCTCAACAGTTAGTGGATCTTTTCACATACATTTATCTCAACATCCTTTTAAAATTTAACCCCGCGGTTGAAGGATCACCAGCCCCACGGTCAGGGAGTCACGGGGGCCACAAATCCACATCAGTCTGTGGCTGCGAACTGCGGGCACCTGTTCTTGGCAGGAGCTCTTCTGGGTAGCCATGCATAGCTCCCCTGCTCCCCCGGCCAGGATGAAGCTGTAGGAGCTAATGTATTCTGAGTCAGACCAACTGCTGCTCATGAAGGGGGAAAAAAAAAAGACTTGCTTGAGTAACCGTAATAATTGGAAAATTATTTTGATAGCCTGAAACAATCTAATATATTACAGAATTTTATTAAAATAATATCAAATCAAATTAACTGCTATTCCATAATGAATTAGGTAACAAGGTAGGCAGATATTAATCGGCCTTGGCTTCTAGGCAGGGGAGCCCGGAATTTATTAGTTCTTGCGGCTGGCGTGAGGGTGAAGGCAGAAACCACTATCACCGCAGGAGAGGGAACCCCCTGAGACAAGCGGGCTTTTACTTTTTCTCTTCCCCTTACTTCCACTTTCTAATCCATCATTAAACACTTGTATTTCTTTTATGTAGGGTCTTATGAAATTTTTAATTTTTTAATTGCTTTGTGATTTAATAATGAGGCCTTTTCATTTTGCCCGAATAAGGAACGAGATGTGATATTGAAATTCTTTCACCTTCTCCACCCTGGCTAACCTTCTTCCCCGCTTCTCGCCTCGTCTCTTTCATTTCCTAAGTCTAGATACAAGTAATGTAATCACCAAGGGGACCAATCGCCAGGCAAACAGGCTGCCTGGACATTTACTTGTTTGAAAAGCAGATGAGGGTCCAGACGCCTAGATGGGCTGTAGGGAGACATTCTCTGAGGGGCCATTCATGAGCAAAGGTTGGCGGGTTTTCTGGTGACTCAGTGACCTGGGGACTCTAAATAACTCAGCCCCTATTTTATCCTTTTGGAATTTTCTCAGCTCTTTGACTTCATGCTTTCCAATCTTTTAAAATGTCTTGGCACACTTAGAATACGATAGTGAGAACACATTTTCGGCACCTTGGAATAAAAGGAGTGGGGGCTGACCTGCTGGGGACTCCAGCAGCCCCAGGCCCTGCCTGGCTGCAGAGAGCGATGCCTCTGACCCTTCAGTGCTCATTTGCCTCCAACCTTTGCAAAGCCCACATGAGATAACGCTGTTTTGATGGCTTAGGCAGCCAGCAGTATCCGAAAGAGCTTGCTGGCGCTGGAACACGTTTCTCTGAACCTTGGTCTGCTCTTCTGTGAAATGGGGATTACACAACCTTGTGAAGTTATAAGGCATAGAAATATTACATACAAAGCTCCCAAAGCACAGCCTTCACTCCATAAATGGTCATATATTAAGTACCACAGAGCTGAGGGAGGATAAATGATGGCGATGAAGTGTTATCATATTGAATCTTCATGATACCCAGATAACGAGGTCACTCTTCATTTCCACTTTACCGATAAGGAAATCGAGGCTTAGATTAATTGCCTGATGCCATGCAACCAGTCATGGTTGAGCTGAATTTAGAAACCAGTTCCGTCTGATAGCAAAGCTTTTCCACCACACTAAGAATCTCACATTTTATGCTTCTAGTTTGAATTCTTTCTGATTTGGGTAGATTTTTTCTTTCTTTCTTTCTTTCTTTTTTTTTTTTAAGGATGCTTGATTCTAGATCAAAGTTTACACAGAGGATTAAACATTAGGGAACTTCATAAATTCTGTGTAATAAGAAAGAGAATGTATCACTTCAAGGGCAAACATCGCGGGGAAAGAACAACGCATGTGTTGTCATCTCTCCTAACATGGTATGGTCACATGGTTTGAATTTTTTGTCTTTATTGACAAGGACTTGTCAAAATTCTTTGACAAATATCCCAAGTTAAGAAACAGCATCTGCTCACCTGCAATATTTCACAGCAAGGGATCAACCTGATTTTGATGAGAAAGTTGGGGGATAGAGGAGAATGCAACATTCTCTTAACAACAGGGGAAGGCTGGAGTTATACACACTGCTCAAATGCCCACCACTATAGCTTAGGCTTTGGGGACTTGTTTCTCCCTCCCTCTTGTAGGGGACATTTGTCACAAATTTCTTTCTCTTTTGACCCCAGCCCCAACTTTTTTTTGGGGAAGGACACTCTTGGGTGCCTTGTCAGAGGGTCTGTCAACTGAATGCCTCCTCTCAGCATTTAGCTGAGGGTTAGACAAGTGACATAGGACAGGTTATCTAGACTATTTCTCCCCAGACCTTCCATTTGGAGATGGAGGGGAGAGATGCACAAAAAATAAGAATGATATGGACAACCAATCAGTGTTAAACAATTGAAGCCAGTCCATCTCCTTCCTTCATCTCCCTTATGGCGCCATGAGAAGGACCTGGATTCCATCCGGAAGTGGACCTTATTTAGAAAAGGTTTAGACATTCAGTCACAGACACACATGATAGCACTACGTTTTACATGTAGGTAAGGGCTATACGGTTGTGGAAAGTGGGAAAACCAGTGCCCAGTGATAAGTTCAGGTCCATAATGAAAGGCTTTCGGTAGCTAACCACATGCTCTTCCCTGCATCAGATGGATAAAAGCCAGACTTGGGCTAGATGTGAGCACATACCCCGACACACACAGCCGATAAACATAGACCTGCCCCAGGGAGTTACAGCCTATTGGTGGGAGGTAATTTAAGGTGATTAAAGGCAGAATGTGTTAGTGCCTAGGATAGGACTGATAAAGTGTCTTCTGAAGTTTAGAGAAAGGAACAGGAGGGAAGGCAGGGACGGAGGCATCAGGGTGCCTCCTCCTCCTGTTTTTTTGCCTAGTAGATGGATACTTAGGGACTCGGCGGGAGAATGGAGGGTATTTGGAGGGAGGGAAGAAAACAAGTGGATGCCCACAGGCAGGCCCTGCCAGAGCCTGTTTGAGGCACTGGGATTAGTCACTTTGAAAGGCAAAGGGACAGCTCCCAGTCTGGTGCTGGAGTCTGGAGAGTGGGAGTCTACCTGCTCACTGCGAAAGCACCAGGTGCCCAGGCTCCTGCACCAAGGAATAACCCCTCCGAGAGGGGCTCCTGGGGTGGGCACAGCAATCATTTTAATGAACCACGGTGACCTGAATTCTCATTTTTCTGTTTGGAATGAAGTGAACAATGCTTTCAAAAGCTCGTTCCCAAAAGCTCAATGTGGGCTTCTCTGTGGGCAGAAGGTGTGGTCAGGATTTGCTAACTTGGGGCTGTATGGTTTATTTTTCCTCATGGAGCGCAAAAGCAAAGGCTCTAGGACAGACGGTCAAGATCCAAACTAAATGAATAAGGAATTGTTCCTGTGAATTGCAAACACAGCTCAAAGAGTTCATTTATTTAGAAGCCATTTTCTTCTAACCCCCAGTGTTCTTAGTCCCTGACACAGGGTCAGTGGCATTTCCTTTTATGGTAAAAGGTGCACAGTAAGAGGAGCTTCATCCTAGGCGTTCAAGGGTTAGGGGTATGTAGGATGAGTCCTCCAAGATGAGATGATTTGCAGGGGATGAGATTATACCACCCAATCAGTCTCTTTCTTATTGAAAAAATCCATTGACAAATATTTTCTTGAAGCAGTAAAATATTTTGACAAGTGCAGCAAACGCAAGCAATGTAACCACTCAGCAAGAAGACGGGATCCTGGTCTCTAAGAGCTGCCTGCAGGGGCGGGCTGGGCCACTGTTTGGGCGCATTTGAGTCTGCTCCCCTCGGTCAGTGCCTGGGTGGAGCTCATGAGGCCAACGACCTTTCTACCCACATTTGCACATGGGTTGGGATTTTTACATATTGTGAGATCAGAAGAGAGAAAAGAGGAGTTGCCTAGGTGCTGACACTGATGTGCAGTTTGATGTAAATTCTCTTTAGTTCAGTCACATTTTATGCAAGTGATAAAAATCAATGCAATTGTTTTCTGATGAATAACTACAAGACAGGTAGGAAACTTTGTTGTTGCTGATAATGATTAATTTAAAGCATCATTAATATATTAAAATGAGACGCAGACATGCTATACCATAGGATGCAGTATTACTTAACATTTGAAGATATATGAGACTTCACACAGAAATTTTATGCTTATAATTAATCTTGTAGGGCTGGAGCCCCAAATCAGCCCTTTTCTACCTGCTCCCTCACCCAGGCATGAGGAACTCCTCTAGGAAAAAATATAAAGACATAGAGGTCAGAGGATTTTGCAATTGTGAAGTTCTTTTTTTCGCCCAAGCAAGAATAACTCTTCTTTCAAATTTGCAGACAGCTTGGGGTCTGTAAGTTCTGAATGAATGTGCAATTAAAATGAAAGTTTTTTATTCGCCCTATTAGGCAGTGAAGAGATAATCTTAGGGCTACGAGAAAGAATGTGGTATAAGCAGTCGCCACTCACCTTGTCTTCCGAAGAGGGCTTGTTCAATGGGTGGCTGAATCGAAATTCACAGGGAAGGACTTTGCAGTGTTTGAGCTGCACAGGCAAAGTCAATTTTGTGCATTTTTTATCACGGTTTGGAAATAAAATGCAACCCAAATGAAGTGAACGCCTCTCTTGTGGATAATTGCTTCCAAAAGAATGAGTACCAAACAACCCCCTTGGTGCTTACATGGGAAAAAATAGAAATAAAAAGGATTTAAAATTAAGGACAAAAAGAATAAAAGGGTAGATAAAATCTGAGATGCATCGGAGGGAAGATAAAGTGACTTTTTGGCAGCAACTTTAATAGAAGCTTTGCTTCAAAAGTCATCTAACTGTGGTGTTAATCTGCGCCTTCTTTGCTAAACCTCATGAATGCATGCTTCTATGTTATTATCTCAGTTAAAAAGGATATATATCTCAAATCAGAATCCGCTGAAACTAGTTATTGCACATCATTCCGCATTTCCCATTTCCGTCAATGGGTAATGAGAGATCACACTGTTTAACCCATTTTGGAAAAGATTATGAAATGGCCTTTCATTTCCCAAACCCGGCTCCAGGCCACTCCTGTGTGGCAGGAGCTGCTTAGCACCAGCCAGGGTGAAGCAGTGGAGGGGCTGGATGTTCAGGGCAAGGAGGAAATTCGGGTGCTAAGAGCTGAGAAGCAGCCACTGCTGTGCCATACCTCGAGGGGAGTGGTGTTCACCTAGTCCTCCCTGGGCCTTGTGGCCTATGGGTTACAATGATTCGCAGGGAATGAAACGGGCCTCAGTGAGGCATGCTGGTCTGTCTGGGGTCACCAGGAAGTGAGCAAGGGAGTTGGAATTCTCATGTGGTTGAGCCTGACCCATGCCTAGTGCCAGCAATATGTAGGATGACCGGCCAGGTGCCCATGATGTGGCTCTCCAGCCTTCCTCTTTGCCTCCTGCACTAGACCCAAATCAGCAGGAGGGAGTGGCTGTGGGGGAACCTAGTAGGGAGATGCCCTGACGTCTAGGTACGGTGAAAGAGCTGCCATGGCCCAGCCACCACTGTCTACTGAGAGCCTTATTTGCCTCATCTGTAAAATGGGAACAATGATATTTGCCTTCTAGACTTTGGAGGCAACATGAGAAAGCTCATTGGAACATTGTTTGTTCATGACACAGGTCAGGGCTATTACAATTTTTAAAAAAAAATCTTCATTTATGTGGGTGCAGCTGCCCATATCACAATAGGTGCTATTATCTCTTTGAAAAGGAAATTAAGTAAATGAGCTATTCCTTTTAACAAGGGACATTATCTAGAGTCTTCTGTTACCAGAAGGCACCAAGGAAAAATAATAGCTCTAGGGCTGTATTAGTTTGCTAGGGCTGCCATAACAAAGTCACAAAAATGAAGCGCCTCACACAGCAGGCATTTATTATTCCACAGTGCTGGAGGCTGGAAGTTCAAGACCGAGGGGTTGGCAGGACCATGCTCCTTCTGAAGGCATGAGAAAGGATCTGTTCGAGGCCTCTCTCTGAGCTTCTGGTAGTTCCTGGGCTTGGGACAGCATAACCTTAGCTCTAAACTTCACCTGGTGTTCTCCCTGTGGACGTGTCTGAATTCTAATTTCCCCCTTTTTAAAATTTATTTTTTATTTTTATTTTTTATTATTATACTTTAAGTTCTAGGGTACATGTGCATAACGTGCAGGTTTGTTACATATGTATACTTGTGCCATGTTGATGTGCTGCACCCATCAACTCGTCAGCACCCATCAACTCGTCATTTACATCAGGTATAACTCCCAGTGCAATCCCTCCCCCCTCCCCCTTCCCCTTTTCATATGGACACCAGTCATTTTGGATTAGGGTCCACTTTGCTGCAGTCTGACCTCGTTTTAACTGATTACGTTTGCATTTCAAAGGTCAATTGAAGACCCTATTTCCAAGTAAGGTCACATTTTGAGATACTGCAGGTTAGGACTTTAATATATGAATTTTAGCATCACAAAATTTAATCCCTAACAATGGCCAAAATTAAACTTGGAAAGCTCTGCCATCTTTAGTCTTCTCTTAAGGATTTACAGCGTATTTTAGTTTATCTACAGGCCGTATAATAACACGTAAGAAGAAAGAAACCTGTTTCATACTTTTTTTTTTACATTTTAAATGTCTTTAACTTATTTTATTTTAATATTTTAATTGAGGTAAAATACAATCCGATGATTTTTTAGATGCATACACCTATATATTCTATACCTCTTCAAGATAAAGAAGCTTCTTTCATTTCAGAGAGTTCTTTATGCCTCCTTCCAGACATCCCTTGCAAGAAACAACCACTGCTAATAAAAGTTCTTTAATCATGGGTTATAATAACCTTGCCATTTATAGAACTTTCTATAAATGAAAGTATATAGTAGGTAAAATCGATGATGTTGTGTTTATCCATAGTTCATTCCTGTTTATTGCTGGATAGAATTTTATTATATGGATTTGCTGCAGTTTGTTTATCAGTTCACCTGTTGAGGGACAGGTGGTTTATTTCCAGGTTTGACTACGACAAACACAGCAGCTATGAACATTTGTGTGTAAGTGTTCACATGTGAACATACGTTTTCTTGTCTACGCCTAGGTGTAAAAATGCTGGGTCATGAGGTTGGTGTAACTTTAATTTTTTCTGAAACTGCCAAACAGTTTTCCAATGTGGTTGTGCCATTTTACATTCCCACCAGCAAGAAATGTGGGTTCTGGTTACTCAATATTCTTGACAGCACTTGATGTTATCAGTCTTTTTAATTTTAGCCGTTCTGATGAGTGCATAGTTGTATCTCATCATGGTTTTAACTTTTGTGTCTTTTTTGATGACTAATAAAAGCTACCAGCTGGATGCAGTGATCCCAGCACTCTAGGGGGCCGAGGCGGGTGGATCATGAGGTCAGGAATTTGAGACCAGCCTGGCCAACATGGTGAAACCCCATCTCTACTAAAAATACAAAAAAAAAAAAAAATTAGCCTGTGTGGTGGTGGGTGCCTGTAATCCCAGCTACTTGGGAGGCTGAGTCAGGAGAATCTCTTGAACCCGGGAAGGTGGAGGTTGCAGTCAGCTGAGACTGCGCCACTGCACATTCCAGCCTCAGCAACAAGAGTGAGACTCCATCTAAAAAAACAAAACAAAAAAAGCTACAGTAATCAAAATGGTATGGTATTGGTAGGATGATGTAGAAATGAAACAGAATAGAGAGCCCAGAAACAGATGCACACTTACATGGCCAATTGATTTTTAACAGAGTTAGCAAAGCAATTCAGAGGAGAAAATTGTTCTTAAAAAAATGGGGCTGGAACAACCAAATATTCATATAAAAATAACCTACCTCTATCCTCATCTTATGCCATGTATGAAAAATAGTTCAAGAATGATCATATCTCTAAATATAAAGGGTAAAACTATTTAAAACAAAAGCAGAATTTTTGTGACCTTGGGACAGGAAAAAAAAAAAGCATAGCTTTAGCAGAACACAGAAAATGCTAACTATAAAAGAAAACATCGATAAATTGCATTTTATCAAAATGAAATACTTCTGCTCATCAAGAAATAAAAAGGCAAGTTATGCACTGGAAGAAAATATTTGGAATATATATGATAGCTACAAAAGACTGATTACTAGGATATATAAAAATGTCCCACAAATCAATAGTAAAAAGACACACAACCCAATAAAAAAGCACAAAATATCAAACAGACACTTTGCAAACGAAGACTACTGAATGGCCAATAAGCACATGAAAACATGCTTAGCAGGAACATGCTTGACTCTTTTTTTAGGCTTCTTTGACCATGTGGAATTGGTGATGTGCAGTGGTGAAAGTTCAGACACTGGGTTAGTGTTAAAGAAACACTAGCATTGAGATTAGTGCCTTTTGACTCCTCTTTGAGTTCCTCTCTTATCTTCCACTTGCCACTCTTCTTGTTGCCCTAGGAATGCCTGAATCAATACCATTCTTGAAATAAACTATATATGTTCTTGCTAGTATGCCTTTGCATATGCATTCCCTTTGCCTGAAATTTTCTCCACTTCCTATAATCAGCAAATTCTTACTCTTTCACCAATATCGTTGCATTTGTTTTCTATTGCTCCATAAAAAACAACTACAAATTTAGTGGCTTGAAACAATATAGTCTGTACAGATAATTTCACAGCTTTTGTGAGTCAGGAGACTAGGCCCAGCTTGACTAGGTCCTCTGCGTGGGGTTTCACGATCTTCAGTCAAGTAGCTGGGCAAGTTTGGTGCCTCATCTGGAGGCTCAACCCGGGAAGGATCTGCTTCCCGTTCATGTGATTGTGCTCTGCGTCCCACTTGTTGCCAACATTTCATTCCCTATAGCTGTGGGACTCAGAGCTTCACTGTTTTGTTGACTATCAGCTGGGGACTGTCTGTATTAGTTTGTTCTCATGCCACTATGAAGAAATACCCAAGACTGGGTAATTTATAAAGGAGAAAGGTTTAATTGACTCATTGTTCTGCAGGGCTGGGGAGGCCTCAGGAAATTTACAATCATGGTGGAAGGTGAAGGGGAAGCAAACATGTCCTTCTTTACATGATGACAGCAAGGAGAAATGCAGAGTGAAGGAGGGGAAAAGCCCCTCATAAAACCATCAAATCTCATGAGAACTCATTCACTGTCACGAAAACAGCATGGAAGTAACCTCCCCCATGATTCAGTTACCTTCCACCAGGTCCTTTCGATAACATGTGGGGATTATGGGAACTACAATTCAAGATGAGATTTGCGTGAGGACACAGCCAAACCATATCACTGTCTTTAGGTTCTAGAGGCTTCCTATGGTTCTTTGTACATGGGGTTTCCCAATATGGCTATTTGTTTCCTCACAGCCAACAAAAGTGAGAGAGAGATCCCTGCAAGAGAGAGGTTACAGTTGTATGTAACCCAATCCCACAGTCACATGCACATAGTCACATACATCCTGTCAGCTTTGCTGCGTTCTATGGCAAAGGAAAGTCACAGGTCCCTGTGACTCTCAAGGGGAAAGGATCATGCAAGGGTGTGAATGCCACGTGGTGGGGATCCCAAGGCCTGCTGTAAGGATCTGTCAAAGTCCTTCTGGAAACATCTCCATTCTCTCTGAAACCTTCCCAGGTGACCTCCAGGACAGAAGTTCTCATCCTTCACGGCTTCCATGGCAACGTGTTGCTCACCGATGTGAACTGGTTTCTTCTGCTTCTTTTCTTTTTTGTTTTGTTTTCAATTCTCATACCACAATTTTTTTTTGCATAACTTTAAAGTAAGCCCTTTTGCCAATGAGTGTCCATGGTCATGTTCTGTTACTAATAGTGCATCACCAAAGATAAATATTTGAAAACAAGAGCTCCTGTCACCATCACACCTCTCTGCTGTCCTTTCCTAGGCATTGGATCCCTGGTGAATCCTAATGCATGAGTTATCTTTGACTCAGGCTCTGCCAGGGGCTGAGATATCTTGGACAATAGAATAGCAAAGGAAGTGCAGACTGAGATGCTTCTGAGTATGAAAGACAAGGTGAAAGTCAAAGCGCCTTACCTTCTCTCCGCCTTTGTCTTGCTCTGCCTCTCTCACACACGCCTGAAGCCTGTCTCCCTCTCTTCAAACATTTCTTAATAATCTATAATTTCACGGAAGGGATAAAGGATGAGAAGAACCTAGAAGGTAACTGGATTTACATATGAATGTTGGGTTTTCATTTTAATTTTGACAAAGTGTAAAGGTGGCTAATAAAAGCATCATTACTGCCTCACCGTTTCTTTGATGAACTACAGAACAGATTGCTAAGATATGGAGACAAATCCAGGGGTCACCAGTTTTACCAGGAGCCATCGTTCATCCTTTAGCAAGAAACAAAACACCATGACAATTGAGGAAAAAAAAAAGGATAAAAGAGAAATGACATTATTTTCAAGGCAGTTCTGACCCTTGTGAGCGCCTCATAGAAGGATTGAACCCACTGTCCGCTTCAGCACAGGTTCTGAGTTTACTGAGAGTCACGGATGCTGACGTGGCTGGGTCTGCCAGAGACCACAGAGAAGTTGACTCCTACTAACCAAGAAGCCCTGGATTAGTCCTGGAGGTGGGACCAAAGAGCAGTGAAGCTGAGCTGTCCTGATGTTCAAGCTTATATCTTGGTTTCACCCCAGAGCTAATACTGAATCAAAAGGACAAGGTGACTGATTAGATATGGGTGGAAGGGATAGGGCAGGATCCAGAACGACTTCCAGGTGCAGCTGATCCAGTGCTCTCGCTACCAGGGGCGAGAAGTGAGAGGGCTGGGTGACATCGATGAGCAAGTGGGGTGAGACCCTAGAGCTGCTTTCTGGTGTGTTCATCCCCCATTGGGTCTGGAGGCAGTGTGATGTCATAGGAAGAGCTAGGTCAGTCCTCAATCTGCTGTGTGACCTCAAGCCAGTCACACTTCCTCTTTGAGCCCTGGTTTGTAAACTGGATGAGACCAGTGGCTTTCAACATGTGCTCTGTGGCACCCCAGAGATGCTGTAGAGGGACTTGGTGGCATCCCCAGTGGGTACCACCCAGCAGGAGTCTGTCTCTGTGCACCTTTCTTCAATCAGAGCAGCTCTGCTTTTAACTGTGTGCTATGTGAGATTTCATTTGAAGGAGGGTTTTATGAATTGAAAGAAATACTGAGAAGCAGTGGTTGGGTGATCTCTGAAGACCTTTCTAGTGCTATGATTGTCTACTATTGTTTAGTAAGCGGATACTGTGTATCAAGAGCGGAAACCTCCTGTGCTGTATTTGAGTGAGGTGTTTGTGTATGTGTGTGTGTGGTTTTTACAACTGGAAGTCTATTTTCTCCTGGTTCTTATTATCATTTCAGAGCTGTTTTGTCTTTGTTCTTATCTGATCTTCTAGGGACAATGACTCTTAGTTGTTGCTGTTGTGCTTGCCAGTTTCTGTTTATGTGTATTAATTTAGTTTAATTTTTAAGTTTCTGCTTGGTCTGAGTCTTTTGGTTGTCATAGATGGAGATTCTTAGGGGCAGGCGGTCCAGTTATTGATCAGTAATTTCCATTCTTTCAGTGTTTTGACGCAATTTTTTAAAAAAAATTTTTGTCCCTGTCACACTCCTAAAGAGCTGGTAAGTCCTTTAGAAATCATATAGTCTACATTCTTCTCTTTATACATAGGGAAACTGAGGCCCTGAGAAGCCCTGACCAGCCACCAAAACCACATACTTTAATACTCTTTCTGGTCTAATTGAGGCCTTGGTCTCTCCTTTTATTGGTCTGTGACTCACTGTATGTGTGCAACCTTAATGTACCCTTGGCAATTTCTTATGTAAAGTAAAGAATCTCTTTTTGCTGTAAGGGGCACTTTTTAATTATATATGTTGAAGTTCACCTGCTAATTATTTTGTGAGTCATCCTGGCAGAATAGGAGTAGCTCACAAATGTGTCTGTGAAAATTATTCCTTTTATTGATAGAGTATGGGGCCAGTAATCAAGATACCTGGCTTTTAGAAAGGCATTTATCTGTTTGATGTCAGAAATGGCTTCTTTTGATTAATGCTAATGTTTTTCCTGATTGTAAAAGTAAACAGATATTTATGAGGAGACACTGGAAATATGGCAAAGATCAGAAAGCTTACAATCATGCTGCATCCTGCCGTTCATTGATTAAAAATTTACCATTTTAGTATATCATGGGAGTCTTTGCTGTGTATATATGTTATCCTTACAAAAAGAGTATCAAATTTAGTATGTGATTTTTATTTGCTTACCATCTCAAGCATTTGCTCCCACCTTTTCCAACTAAATGCCAGCTTTCTAATGGCCATCTGGCCAAGTGTGAAGCGGACTTACTGAGAAACAGTGAGCCTTCATCAATGCAGTGTGCAAATGGGGGTCACGTTATTTCTAGATAAGGTATCAAGAAAATTCATGCAGTAGAGAGAGGGGAGCAGGTCTCAGTGTGTGCCCTGCTGCCCATGACCTTCCCTAAGACTCACACAGCTGTTGCCACCATCTCCTCTTCAAGAAACTCACCCCGGCCAGGTGCGGTGGCTTACACATGTAATCCCAGCACTTTGGGAGGCCAAGTCAGGTGAATCATGAGGTCAGGAGTTCGAGACCAGCCTGGCCAGCATGGTGAAACCCCACCTCTACTAAAAATACAAAAAATTAGCCAGGCATGGTGGTGCGCGCCTGTACTCCCAGATACTCGGGAGGCTGAGGCAGGAGAATTGCTTGAACCCAGCGGGCAGAAGTTGCAGTGAGCTGAGATTGTGCCACCACTGCACTACAGCCTGGGTGACAGAGTGAGACTCCATCAAAAAAAAGAAAGAAAGAGAGAAAAGAAAGAAAGAAAGAAAAAGAAAGAAAGAAAGAAAGAAAGAAAGAAAGAAAGAAAGAAAGAAAGAAAGAAAGAGAGAAAGAAAGAAAGAGAAAAGAAAGAAAAGAAAGAAAGAAACAAACTCACACTAAGTCCCCATATCTTCCCAGGGTCTTTCCCATCCAATGCAGGAAAGAATGCTCAATTTCCCATTTCCCAAAGGCAAGGGAGAGGCTGATGGGATCCTGTAGGTATGGACTGACAAGTGTCCAAAGTCCCTCAAAAGTAGTTTGTAGACATCCAGCCTTCTTAGAATGGGTTGTGTTGAACCCAACTCTCCAAACCTTAAGGCGTTTATTTCATGTTGTGTCCATTGCCACCAAGGTGAGGTTCCTGTCTAGGGGGATGTTGAGTGTCTCTGAGGCTGAGTACTGAAGTTTCTGTCTAGGGGGATGTTGAGTGTCTCTGAGGCTGAGTACTGAAGTTTCTGTCTAGGGGGATGTTGAGTATCTCTGAGGCTGAGTACTGAGGTACCTGTCTAGGGGGATGTTGAGTGCCTCTGAGGCTGAGTGCTGAGGTTCCTATCTAGGGGGACATTGAGTGCCTCTGTACACAGTCTCCCAAGAGAAGGAAACCAACCTGTGTGCAGTGTGCTGGTCATTTTACGCCTGCTTTTCCCTTCCCCAGGGCACCTTTGCAAGATGAATGACAACCTTATGACAGATGAAGTGGCATAAGCTGAAAGGTTAAGGAATAAACCCAGTGGCACCTAGAAGGATCTTGGTGGAGCTGAGATTTGAACCTGCATCTGGGTAACTCCAAAGTCAGATCTTTGGTCTTTGACAGCCCTGTCACATGGTCTCTGAGCTGGTGGGACCTGAGAAGGTGAATCACTTGCTTCCGTCTCTCTAGGTGTGTCCCCCGTGGGCTCACATTGAGATGATGGGCTACAGCCTTCAACCTTATTCACAGGTTACTGCTCAGGTCAGTAGACTTCAGGGACTAGCCTCTTACTGAGTTGGGGGGTGAGGGACAGGAGGTGTAATTTCATGCTTGTCGAAATGTCGCAGGGCAGGGGAAGACATCTATAACATCTTAGCCTGCAACTGAATTTGAATTGTGTCTACTGCCCTGGTAACACCATAGCTTGGCAGTTTGGTATAATAACTGTGGGGAACAAATGTCTCAGGTTTGGGGAGTACGGCATGGTCACTAGGAGGTTTAGACAAGTAATGTGCAGTTGATGATGTAAGACCCAGTGTCTCGCGTCCATCTTCCTGTGCTGGCCGCTGAATATCAGGAGGTGCTTTCATGAGGTGAGCAGCTCCTAGATGCTGAGGTCTGCATCTCACTGTTATCACTGGGATCCCGATGGGACTCACCGGTGACAAAGAGGCTGCCAGCCTCAGCCACTCGCTTCCTGGACAGGCTCCGGAAACACCTCTCCACTCGCTGTGGAACTTGGGCTGTGAGGGTGGGGAGAGCTCTTGGTATGGACTCAGGAAGCTGGAGCTCACGTTCCTCCTGTTCAGTGACTCTCCATCTCTGCGACTCTGAGCTTTTTATCTTACCTCCCTGTACATCAGATTCCTTGATCTACAGTGGAGCAGATACCCACCATGTGGAACTGCTGTGAGACTTCCCCCTACAATAGTGTGCAGTCCTTTGTAAATCCCACAGCTTATCACACAAATGTGGTTAATATTACCCCTCCCAATCCTTTTTGCTCCTGCTAGAGGGAAAACATACACACATTCACACACACACACGCATACACATACATATATATGTACATGCATACACACATGCACATGCCCATATATACCTACACACATATATACATACATGTACACACATACATACATGCACGTGCCCATGTACACACATACACACATGCATACACATGCACACACCTCTCACTCTTCCATCTTTGTTTCCAACTTTCCTGCTTTCAAATCTTAGCTCCTACTGCCACTTCTGCTAGAATGATCACCCCCTCTTAAAATGCTGCTTAATTTTCATTGCTGCTTCCTCCACACATCCTGGCCTGGGTTGCTGGCTGCACACAGAAGTGGCTGTGGAGGTGTGGACTGAGATTTGAACTGGGCATCAGGACCTCTGGCTGTCAGTCCTGCTTCTGCTCACTCTGTGGTCCTGGGTGAGCTGCATAAGCAGCCAGTGCTTTGTTCACACTCAGCTCACGTGTTCAAACACCCATTCATTCATCCACTTGCCCACTCACTCAGTTTCTCGTGGTCTAGACAAGAGGCCTGAGATCAGAGCTTCTTCTAGAGCTGCTGGGCACATGGGGGCAGGAAAGCCCCAATGCCCATTGTTCTTCAGGGAAGACCGAACACTCTCCTTGGGAACACTGGAGCCCTGGAGCTCACTTAGTTACCCCAGAACTCCTGTCCTCTGTGGTGTGTCTCTACCCTGGGGCCAGGCACGAACATCCCCAGATTCCTGGATTTGATCATAATGATCAACTTGGAAATATTTGGCCACCGGGGCTGCTCAGTGTGCTGGGTCTGGAGCAATTGGAGGATGAGATCTTCACATTTACTTGGAGGGTTGTATGCCTGTGTGTGTTTACTCTTCTCACTGCAAGTAACAAGTTCAATATTAATCTTCATTTCCTGGGAAATAATTAGTGTTAAGTGAACTGTGATTTCTATCTCTAGTTATTTCTCATGTGTTAATTTTAGCAGCAAGGAAAATGTTCTGTGTTGGCTGGATCCAGGGCTGCAAAGACATATTCCAACATAGGAAGAAAGGCGGGGAGGGTTGGGGAGAGGCAGACCACCCATTCAACAGGGGATTGAATTCCAGCACGCCAAGAGTCTCCAGCTGTGGGGAAAATTGTCCTTCCTGTCACAGGCCCCTCTAAGTGGGACCAGCCCACCCATGCACTTGTGTGCTGGAGCTCAGAAAAGGAAAAGCTCAGCTTTGGGCATGACCTCTTGTCTCTGGAATCTGCAAACTCCTCTCTGCTCATGCTCCCTGGCTCTGACTTACTCTCCTGGTTCTCCAGCCCCATTCCACTCTAAACCTTGGAACTGGAGTCTTGTCTCCTGCATCCCAGGGTGGAAACCCATCAGGGACCCACTCTCCTGTCTCGATGTTAGCGCTCACCTTTCCAACACACATTTTTGCTTGTCGTTCCTCCTTGATCAGTCTCATGAGAATGGCCAGCCAGGCCAGATCATCCTGCCTGAACCCCCCAAGATCCCTGATCCCGTTCCCATTTATGGTTAGCATGATTACTCACTGCTAATTTTCCATGTGCCAAGGGCTTTGGGAGTGTGGTGTCTTAATCCTCATGCTCCCTGTTTTACAGATGGGGAAACTGAGTATCTGAGAGGCTGATTTGCCCAAGTGAGTGGGGAGAACCAGGGTTGTAATTTAGATTTGTGTGACTCAAAATCTCATGCTCTTAACCATCATTTCGAATGGGATACAAACAAAGACAATTTGGAATCCCAACATAGGCACTGAAGAATTTGGGGCAGGAGTGGTGATGTGGTGATGTCTCTAAACCTCGAAGTGCAAGCAGGAAAATAAACCAGAACCAATTCCTAGGCAGTCATGTGCCCTTTAATCCACTCAAAATGTGCTTCCAGCTTCAGCTGGGTGAACTTGGACAAGTTACTTAACTTCCCTAAATCTCACCGTTCTTGTCTGCAAACTGACAACCAAGACAGGTCGCCTCTAATTGAGCTGCTGTGGACACTAAAAGACCAATCGTCCTGCCCAGAGGAAGCAGCCTTCCAATGACCATTGCTGTTACTACAATGCATTCATTCATTAGCCCTCATTCATTCACCCACAAACTGTTGGTGAATATCTACTGTGTGTGCTAGGGAACATGCAGGTGCTGATTTTACTGCACAAATATTATGGTGTCCTTGACCTTAGGGAACTCTTGCTTTAGTGGGAGATCCTGAAGAAGACATGGCTATGCATAGTTGGATGTGGTGAGTGATGGGATGGCGATGAGGAAGGGGTAAGATGGGAAGAAGGGGGTGGGCTCAGCCGACTTGGGAAGTTCATTCAGGGAAGCCTTCCTGGAAGAGGTGACACTAGGCCAGTGTCTGGGAGAAATCGCTCAGTTGAAGAAGAGATGGGATGGTGTTCCTGCAAGAAGAAATCAGCCCTGTGAGTGTGTGGAGTAGGGCTCCTTGAGTTATGGTGCCTGCTGATGTTAGATGGAAGGAAAGCACCTCCAATGGAGAGGAGCAGGAATGCAGCTCTGAGCTCGTGTGCTTCCTCACAGCTGCTGAAAAGAGCCTGATGCATGATGCCAGGTGGAGGTTGAGGGACCCACCCTTGCTCTTGGTTCTCAGCCCTGGGGGAGAGCACTTCTGCTACTGAGATCGCACCTTCCTGCTGCCCCTCACTACACTCTCTAGCTCATGGAAGAAAAGTCATCCCTCTGACTCATCCCTGACTTACTAATTGGCAGGGCCACTCCGTGTTAATGGCCATTGCTTCTTTTATTAAAACAAATTATCACAGTAAACTATGCATAACAAAACATACCACTGTCACCATTTTTGGTGTACTGTTCAGTAGCAATAAGGACATGTACAAAGTTGTGAAGTTATCACTATGACTATCTCCAGAACTGTTTCATCATCTCAGACAGAAGCAGGGCACTCATTAGCCACTCGCTCACCATCCTCCCTCCACCAGACCCTGGCCCCGCCATTTCAGTTTCTGTCTCTATGAATTTGCCTACTCTGGGAACCTCGTGTGTGTGAGATCACACAGGATTTGTCCTGGGTGACCGCCTTATTTCACTAGCATAATGTTTTCAAGGCTCATCTGTGGTGCAGCACGTGTCAGAATTTTCTTCCTTTATCAGGCTGAATAGTATTCCATTGTATGGATATACCACACATTTTGTTTATCTATTAATCAGTCTGTGGACATTTGGGTTATTTCTGCCTTTTGGTGAATAATGCTGCTACGAACATGGAAATACAAATATCTGTTCTCATCCCTGCTTTGTGTTCTTTTGGGCTTATACCCAGAAGTGGCATTGTGGGGTCATATGGAGATTCTGTTTCACTTTGAGACAGCCTGGGGAGGCAGTGTCTTCAAGGGTGTCCTCACCATATTGGGATGGTGTCTGGAAAAGTCATGGCTGGAAATGGCACCTCCAGCCGTCTGACTCTCCCTACTCTCTCTTCTGGCTTCTCAGCACCTGCCATGGGTGGTCAGCCAGGCCACACTCAGGTGTGTGGACTCAGATATCCCGTATGTGGGAGAGCGAGAGGTGCATCGAATTGCTGAAGTACATTAAATTCATGATAATCACATGAATCAGGTGTACTATGAGAAAACTGGTGCTCAGAGAGATGAAGGAACTTACCTGACATCACATAGCTGGCATGTGACTTCAGAGATTTCAGTCCAGGCTTGCCAGACTCCCAAGTTCCCACTGTGGTCCCGGTACTGCACTGGTTCTACTACACTCCTCTGGAAGGGCTGCTGCCTCTGTCCAGCACTGGTCCCTTCCGTCTCATAATAGGACTGTGAGGCTGCAGAAACGGATGCCACTGCCATGCCCCATCCATCTCCAAGACCTCAGTGCCCACCCCAGGCCTGCCACAGAGACCATGCATGCGCAGATGAGGCCGTGGAGACACAGATACTATTACCAGCCTAGGGAACGAGGTGATGGATTGACTTCCTGCAATCTTAGACTGTGGAGAAAGAGTGTGAGCCTGGACTATGATACAGAGATGAAGACGTTAGTCCAGACGCCAAGAATGGTGAGCTCTAGCTACGCCTCTGCCACCAGTTGTGTGGACTCCAGCAAGTTTCTTTTCTCTCCACGCATTAATTTTCTCATTTGCATAATGGGATGAGCTTTGACAAGAGCCCCTTGGTCCTAATAAGCTGTGTCACAAGCACAGTCCTGGGCCCCAATGCCCACCTCTGCCTGCAGAGACCTTTGACATCGCCATCCCTGCTCAGAAAGGTCAGAGGCCCTCAAATCTGGCCTTTGGAGTCTGTGTCTGCACAGGGCGGAGCTGTGCATGGCTAGAGGGTCCTCGGACACTGAGATGTCCATCTTTATGACCTGATGGGGTTTTGTATGCTTCCTCCAATGTCCTCTGTCCTGCATCCCCCAAGCATGAAGTACAGCCCCCTGTTGTCTCAGAGCCTAGCTTCTGGACACTGCTTTCTTCCAGAGTCCTTTTTTGGCTGACTCTGACACGTTCTGGCTCAGCCTTCCAAAGCCAGACCTGAGGGACCGATCAGAGAGCGCACGCGATAAGAGCATGCTTTTCTGATTGTTGTTGTTTGTATTCTTGTAAAAAAAAGAGAACGGATTGAGGATGGAGGGTATGGCTGTGCAGGATGCGAAAGAAGTGGCCACTTATTGTCAAATGCTTTGGGCTCAGAAAAATCCAAAGTAGAATCATCCAAATCTTTGCTTTTAATTTTTCAAAAAGGTGTGTGTGAGTGCAGTGTGTGTGTGAAGCGAGTGCGGGGTGTGTGTGTGTGTGTGTGGTTGGCAGAATGATGGCCTCTCAAAGACATCCACGTCCCAATCCCTAGAACCCAGGGCTCTGTCACACATTGCAAGGCAAAGGGGAATTAAGACTGCAGGTGGGACGGATGAAGGTTTCCCAGTGGTTGACCTTAAAATGGAGACTATCCTGGGTGATCCTGGTGGGCCCGATGTCATCACAAGGGTCCTTAAGACTGAGAGAAGGAGATGGGAGAGGAGACCACCGTGCTGCCCTGGGAGACAGGCCTGTCCCACCACTGCTGACTGCGAAGATGGAGGAAGGGGCCCAGAGCTGAGGGACGTGGGCCACCTCCAGAAGCCGGGAAAGGTGAGAAAGGGCTTCTCTGCTGGAGCCCCGAGAGGGAGGGCGGCTTTGCTGGCACTTGATGTTAGCCCAGAGGGACACAAGTTGGATTCAAATACCCAGAGCAGTAAGGAAATACATTTGTATTAGGTCACTAAATCTGTGGTAATTTGTTATAGCAGGGATAGGAAATTTATGTAGTGTGTGTGTTTGTGGAATGTGTATGTGAGGTCTGTGCATGTGTGTGAATGAGTGAGTTATGGCCTGTGTGTGTGCGGGGGGTGAGTGTAAGTGAGCAGGTGTGAGTGTGTGTGGGTGCGTGTGAGTGAGCAGGTGTGTGTAGGGGTGTGAATTAGGGAGTGTGAATGTGTGTGGGTGACACACCCCCCACACACACACTTACACTCACCCACACACACTCACACCTGCTCACTTACACTCACCCACACTTGCTCTCACCCACACAGTCACACTCACATTCACCCACACACACTTATACCTGCTCACTCATGCTCACATACACTCACTAATTCACACTCACCCACCCACACCAAGTGGGTGGATAAATGTGTGGATAAATGTGTATGTGGCTGAGTGTGACTGAGTGGGTGTGAGTGTGTGAGCATGTGTGTGAGCGGGTGTGACCATGAGCGTGTGTGTGAGTGGGAGTGTGTGTGGGTGTGGGTGTGAGTTGGTTTGTGTGAGTGCAGGTGTGTACGGGTGTTAGTGAGCTGGTGGGTGTGAGTGCAAGTGAGTGGGTGCGATCGTATGTGTATGCAAGTGAGCAGGTGTGAGTGTGTGGGTGTGAATGAATGTGAGAGTGCGAGTAGGTATGAGCGTAAGTGTGTGTGAGTGCAAGTGAGCAGGTGCAAATATGTGTTAATGAGCTACTCAAAAATGTGAGTTTGAGCAGGTGTAAGAGTGTGTGAATGAGCAGGTGTGTGTGACAGTGAGCAGGTGTGAGTGTGTGTGAATGTCAGTGAGCGTGTGTGAACATGAGTGCATGTGTGAGTGAGCAAGTGTGAGCATGAGTGCATGTGTGGGTGAGCAAGTGTGAGCACACATGTGTGAGTCTGTGTGAGTGTGCTGGTGTGTGTGTGAGTGGGTGTGAGCATGAGTTTATGTGGGTGTGAGCGAGCTGGTTCATGTATGTGAGTGTGAGTGAGCACGTGTGAGTGTGAGTGAGTGACCGAGTGTGTGTGAGTGCGAGTGAGCATGTGGGTGTGCATACTTCTTTCAGAAGAAATGCTGTTGACACGTGCCTGAGTCATTTATCCCCTAAGCATTGCAGGGTTGCCTGCTGAGAACTTCTTACTGGTCCTGCCGACTTTGGGGTTGGTCTGACACCTCCCGACTTCTCCCAGCCTTCACAGTTACTTTCCCTGGAGAGAAACTGGGCCCAGGAATGAGAAGGAGTAACATTTTCCTCTCGGAGCTCTGAAACTTTGCTGGCGTGAAGCTGCTTCCTTGAACATTGGAAGGTCAGGATCCGAGGTGGCATGGACACCTGGGTTCCCGAGGCTTAGCCCAGGTCTTTTTGAGTCTGTGAACTAGCCCAGGCCCTAGAGGGCTGGTCCAGGTTGGGGACCAGCTGCAGGCTCTGAGTGCCTTGGTAGGCTAGTGGCCCAGAAGGCAGGGGTTGCCCACAATTCCCTGGTCACTGCAATCCCCAGGACTGGAGGAGCTTTCCAGGGCATGAGGTTTCAGAATTGTACTGCCATTAGTCTGGGGTGGGTCCCAGTTGACACTGAGGTACACCTAACACCTATTCCATGATAGGGCTGACATATACACAGGCACCTCTCTATTGGCTGCTAAGATACCCAAATTCTTCTCTACAAAATTGGTTGGTAACTAGCCTCTCTCTGAGGTCCCTAGGTTCTGCCCTATCCACTCAGCCTCTTCCCTGGGATCCACCATCCAGCAACTGAAGGGCTAATGTTCAGCCTTGCAGGGCATGTCTGGGACCCTGCTGTAGCCCTTTGGCCTCTGTTTTCTCTGATTACCTGGATGTCTGCTTTCCCCATGTTAAGTATTTTGGGCATTACCTCTGATTGTCACAACATTTTTGCTGAGTCACAAATATTGCATATTAGACAGTAGGAAGCTATGGGAGGGAGGAAAAGAACACAAGCTCTTTTGTCCCAAAAAACTTTGCGTGGGCCCGTCAGCCTCTCTAAGCCTAATTTCATGTATCTTCAAAATGGACATACTAATGACTAGATTACCAACAGAAGCAGACTGGCCCAGCCTGTAGAGATTTCTAGCCAGCAATTGCTGCCTCACTAGATAGGCATTCAGGCCCTCTTCTGTCCCTCTGGAAGGCTGGCTATCTTCCAGAGGTCCTGTTTTCTGACTTGCTTGTATTGGCCTAGTGTGAACTGGTCTCTGCTGAAACACAGATCTTTTTCTGTGAACACTCAACAGTGGATCACCCTGGAACTTCTCAGCTCTTTCTGTCCTCTCACAAAGCACTTGTTTTCAGGCTGGAGATGTTCTCCACCTGCTGTAATTGACATTCTCTGGGCCCCACTGTGTGACAGT